GTGTCCATAGTTCAGCTGAGACAGTGTCCTTCGCCCTGCCAGGCTAAGTAAACAGTCTTCCAGCCAACCCAGGTGCCTTGCATGGAATGGGAAGGAACAGAATAAACACAGTCGTTATCAGGGAGTTTTTGTTCAGCTCCAGCCTTGAGCCCACAGCTGGCGCCGAAGGGGTATCCGGATTATGATGGTAATTTTTCTTTTGCAAACAACTCATGAGAATTTCAAGCTGTTTTTAACACTCCGACACTGGTCTCTCAATCTCCCGTTAATAGCTGCGAGTTTCTCCGTGATGTTATTAGCCGTCGATTCTGTGGTCTTGTCACTCTTTTGCTCACATAGCAGATTCTGAGACCTCACGACCGCAGCCAACTGATCCGAGATGTAATCCAGCTTCCGCTCAGAGATGTTGTTCTGAGTTGATTCTTTCCTGATGTAATCCAACATATATATGCTCAAAGGTGTTATTCTGAGCATTCACTGCAGTCGTAAGCGCCTCCAAGCTCTTAACCATGCTGCCTTCAGTGAGCCCTTCCTGAGAAGTCGCACCTGTCATTCCAATCCCAGCGGTCAGCCTTGTGGGGGTTTGAACAGCCGGTTTCCGCTGTCTTAATTCTCCGATAAGCCAGGGCCAAGCCAGCTCCGATCAGCAAGAACCCTGTTATCATGGTTCCGAATAGGTCGATATCTTCAGCGTCCTCGATCGACAATCTCGCCAGGCACACGACCCTCCATTTCTGCCATCCGTCCATCGTGTATCCGACAGGGAAAGTCCCTCCAGGGCACTCGGGTTCTCCTGAGCCCAGACTTCTTGTTAAAGGGTGTCAATAGCATTCAGAGACCAGTTGATCAAATCCATAATTCTCTTTTAGGTTTTAGACATAGACTGTGAGAGGGTGTTCCAGGGAAAGTAATACAAAAAAGACACGAGACTAGACAAGGACATAAGAACTAGCAGGAAAGATAAGGGAGAGGAGAAAAAGTGCATCCGCTTCCTCTGAGAGCCAAAGAAAGAAAAAAATGTTGATGATACCATCAACAGTATTGTTTCTCCTCCAACTCGGCATGCTGTGTTACTTTCTGATGAAGATTGTAATACTTTTCTCCATCACTTTGTAAATAAGGTGACGGACCTGAGATCCAAAATCTCCTCAAGTGCCTCCCCTTATGAAGATGCCCCTTGGTGTTTTGGGTCATTTAATTCCTTTTCTCCAATCACACTTAATGACTTAATTACAGTGATAGGTAAAATTAAATCCTCATCATGCTCTTTAGATATATTACCTCCCTCTGTCCTGTCTGGGACTCTCACCAGCATTGGTCCCACATTGCTATCCATCATCAACAGTTCACTGAGGCAAGGCTGTGTTCCATCTTATTTTAAACATGCTGAGGTAACTCCTCTATTGAAAAAACAGAATCTAGATCCTACCTCTACTAGTAATTACCGGCCTATTTCAAAATTGCCATTTTTAAGCAAATTACTGGAAAAAATTGTAGAAAGTCAGTTCAGGTCCTTACTATGCAGATTACAGATTTTTGACCCTTTTCAGTCTGGCTTTCAAAAGCAGCACTCCACTGAGACCACTCTCTTAAGGGTCTATAATGATTTATTAATAACTCGTTCTAGCAAGCATGCTCACATTTTATATTCTTTACATTGGGTCCCAATAGATTTTAGAATTCGTTTTAAAATTCTTGTTTTAACATACAGAGCACTAAATGGCCAGGCCCCAGATTATTTATCCAAGCTTCTTATAAAATACACTGTTGCTCGTTGTCTTTGCTCACAGGCTCAGAGTTTGTTGGTTGTTCCCCGTACATGACTGAAGACGAAAGGGGACAGAGCCTTTCGGTCTGTGGCACCAAGGCTTTGGAACAGTCTACCACCACAATTTCGTGTGGTTGACTCTGTGGAATCCTTTAAAAAGCAGTTAAAAACTTTATTATTTAAACAGGCCTTCCGTTAATCAACACTTTTGAATTATTTTGTATTTACATTGTTTATATTATCTATTTTATTACTTAATGTTTTCTTTATTTTAACCTCAGCGCTTTGTGAATGCCTGTCTACAAAAAGTGCTTTATAAATAAACCTTACTTAGATGGCCCCGCCCCTCCCTGGGCCTGGTTCTGCCGGAGGTTTCTTCATGTTAAAAGGGAGTTTTTCCTTCCCACTGTGGCCAAAGTGCTTGCTCATAGGGGGTCATATGATTGTTGGGTTTTTCTCTGTATCTATTATTGTAGGATCTACTGTACAATATAAAGCGCCTTGAGGCGACTGTTGTTGTGATTTGGCGCTATATAAATAAAATTGAATAGAAAATTGAATTGTTTGATCAACATGGAGGCTGTCACTGAACATTACTGACAGAAGGACACAGACATAAACATGATTCGTAGACTTCAGCAGAGCTTCTGCCCACATAGCAAAATTGGTATGGCCCAGATCTGGCCCACGCAATGTGCTTACACATGGCTCACATACCGCAAAGAATGACGTCCCTTTGGTGGCCCAGATCTGGTTTGCCAAAGGTGGCCCAGATATAGGCCAGCACAAGGCCAGTTGCAGATACACTGGTGGTCCTGTGCTGACATGACAAAACTCTGTTCAGAAAGTGAATGGACTGATTCTTATATAGCGCTTTTCTACTCTCCCGGATTACTTACTAGCCACAGCCACCCAGTGGTAAACATGCGTAAACCCTTACTAGGTTTTGGATAAAGTGTACACTCACAAACCTGTCAAGACTGCATTTGAAATGTTGGCTACCATAGCAGTATAGTATTGCAACATGGCATTTGGGTTTTCTAACTAAAATAGGAAAATAGGAACATAAATACTGCCATCATTGCCAGACCTGGCCCACATCTGGTTGACATACACCCTGCCATGACATCAGTCAGTCAGAAGTGCCAGCTTGACACCAAATCCGGGCCAGTTGTGTCTGCTATGTGGGTGGTCTGTATGACGACCACATGGTTACTAAATGTAAGGATGGTTCTCTGTAATAAGAGCCAGTGATTTGCAGTCTTGTCACTTGTCACAGTCTTAAGTCATACTGTGACAACGTTAAAACTGATCAGCTGTTAAGGCATGAAATGAGAGAACAAACAGTATGAGATTAGATTTGATGCTCTTACAGTTTGATGAATGATTACTTTTTATAAGGCTTCAGTGAGAAGCCTCCAACTTTACAAGAAACACTGGATCTTTGTTTCATACTGACTGTGTTTAGAACAATACTGCTGACAGCACCACCCACTCACTCCAACAGTTTACGTACTCCAGAGTTTCCAGTCTGTAGTCTAGACTCTCCTGAAGATCAACCAGCTCAGACAGATCTGGATTCTGCAGGTCATTGTAGCACAGGTCCAGCTCTCTCAGATGGGAAGGGTTGGACTTCAGAGCTGCAGCCAGATAATTACAGCTGATCTTTGACAAACCACAGCTCAACAATCTGTATAAAGAATGAAAGATGTAAGTTTATTTAACAAACTTCAAACAACAGCTTCATACAGTCTTCAGGAAACTTCAATAAAGTTATAGAAAATACTTTTTTCCCCCAATTCCCAATTCCTGTTCCATTTTAAAAATATAAATGGATGCTTTTAAAAAACCCTAAAAATGTAAATTAAAACCAAACAAGGTTGAAACAATGGATTATATTCATGCTATTAAAAACAAGCTAAACTACTGGTATGCTACCATTTAACAGAGGCGTCATCCCTACAACACAAAACCAAATTACTGTGCAGTAGGAAACACTTACAGAGAAGACCATCTGTCTTTATGTTTTCAGCAGAGAGTGAGAAACAAAGTGGGCTCAAACTTCCATGTGAGGACTAAATTTATAACTCATGCAATGTCTCGCAGATAAGAACATGAAGAAATGAGGGGCATTTTAATTTTTGCAAAAACACAATAGTATAATAATAATAATTAATGTGACCCCACAATGCCTCTGACAGGGTTGGCTGTCTATTTTTTAAACTATCAAATTATGAACAGGAGTGATGGGGTCTACAGTAAATAAGACCTCATGACTCCTGTTCACACACAAAGTGAAAAAATGTGGTGACCCTTAAATTCATAATTTTATATATAAAAATATTACAGTGACTCAGATGTTAATGGATACAAAGAAAAGAAAAGAAAATCAAATCAAATCAAATCAAATCATGAGGAGAAACTGAAGGTGAAAATCAACTGTATAGATTTTTCTTCTTTGTTGAAGGTCTGAAATGTGAACATTGTTCTGCTACAGTCATTGGACTAAACCAGAGAGGAAGAAAACAGACTTTACCATGAAGATCCTCAGTGTGGATCAGTATAATATCAGCCTTATGTCTGTAGCTTAGTGTCAGTACAACTTTCACATCATATTCATCTCGGCACAACTAAAACATGGTGACTGACCTCAGAGTTTCAAGTTTACATCCTGGACTCTCCAGAAAACCACACAGCTGCTTCACTCCTGAATCCTGCAGGTTGTTGTTACTGAGGTCCAGCTCTCTCAGGTGACTGGGTTTGGACTTCAGTGCTGAGACCAAAGAGCTGATGTCTGACAAACCACAGTAATCAAATCTGAATAAAGAATAAAAGATGGAGTTTTCTTTTCAATTTTGTGCATAAAATAATTTCACAACTTCATCAGAGATAAAGAAAATTCCACCCTCCTGTGTGTACTCAGTCCGTGTGTTTTCAGTCATTCCCTAGCTGTGTCCGAATTCAGGGGAAGGATGCCTCGAAGTACGTATTTTCAGGCAATGACATCACAGCGACGCGACGACTGCTGCCCAAATTCAAAGAGTACTCAAAATGTGGCGACAAATGCGTCCTACTTTTCCACGAATTTGAGGGTTAGCCGTGTCCGAATTCAAGGGAAGGATGCTTCGATTCCATATTTGGAAACAATGACGTCACAGGGACGCGACGAAGGCTGTCCAAATAATTCGGACAGCCATTGATTCAAAAGCTTAATCAATGGAAATCACAGCAGTTTTATTTCTGCTTTGAATTTGAACTGAAGACAAATATAAGGAGAAACTGGACATGTAAATCAAGTCTCAAAGTGAATTACCCAATAGAAGATTTTTTTCTCTATGTAGCTTTTAAATATGTAACACAGCATTACTCTGCATCAGCTAGTTGACTGAACCAGAGAAGGAGAAAACAGAATTAGATCCAGATTCTCACAACTAGAACATGGTGACTGACCCCAAAGTTTTAAGTCCACATTGTGGATTCTCCAGAAAACCACACACCGCATTCACTCCTGAATCGTGCAGCTTGTTGCGGCTCAGGTCCAGATGTTTTAAATGGGAGGGGTTGGACTTCAGTGCTGAGACCAGACAGCTGATTTCTGACAATGTACAGTCTTCTAAACTGAAAAAGAAAAAAGGAAATGGAAACTCCAAACAGCTCAGGCCAAAATTCCTAAAGAAACTTGAACAAACAAATAAAACATTTTTTTGTTTGTGTTAAGAAAACTAGTAGTTTGGTATTTGATATCCTAATAATCTCTATACTTTCTTTTTACACATGACTGTTAAGTCAATATGTTATATATTTTGCACTGCTGATCAGACAAAAATTTTTTTTACATTGTTCAGGGGAAAAAGCCAGCCATGGGGTGAACAGAAGCCAGTAAGAACATTCTGCATTCTGCTGTTAGAAATATGAAGGTAGATACACCAGCAACCACAGCTGATTCCAGGGTCCAGAGATGACTACTGCTGGCTAACGCTAAGTGTAGATATAGTAAGACTGTAATTATAGTTATGATACCTGGTTACATCAATTGGAGGTCACTAAAATCAATATCGAATCGGTGTGTAACTTTGCCAAAACAATTTTGGACTCTGTAGTTTTCTCTGGTCCCCTCCCCAATCAGACCAGGAGTTGACATGTTTAGCCGCATGTTCTCCTTAAATTGCTGGCTGTCTGAGTGGTGACCATAAAACGATGTGGGCTTCATAGATAATTGGGAAACTTTCTGGAGGAAATCTGGTCTTGTTCGGAGAGACGGCATCCATCGCACTTTGGATGGAGCAGCACTCATTTCTAGAAATCTGGCCAGAAATTATTCTAGAAATTATTAAACCACCCAAAATATGACTATCCAGAGTTGGGACCAGGAGGCACGCCTCTCTGCAGCTTCTCTCCTCCTGTTACACCCCAAAACCCCATCCCCTTAGAGACTGTGTCAGCTCCCAAACAGACAAAAAACTAACTAAAAACCAGCAAGAAATGACTTAAACAGAATGAAATCAAAAAGAAAAACCAATACAGTATCACCAACAGCACTAAAGAAAGAACTAAGACTATTAAACAGCATGTTTTCTCTTCTAAGTTCCTGTTAGCCAATGACTTAATATTTGGTCAACATCCTGATTTACTCTGCTTACAGAAACCTGGTTACAGTTGGTTATGTTAGTTTAAATGAATCAACACCCCCAAGTCACTCTACCTATCAAAATCTTTTAAAATATAAATGTATTTTGCCAGAAACATCAGAGTCTCAGCTAAAAAGAAGGAGGTCATACTGGACTTGTGGAATACCAAGAGATTAACTGCAGCAGTTTTTTATTGAAATTATTTTGTTTGTGCATTTTTAAGAAGAAAGATTTGGTGTAGGTCATGTTTTTGTCTTTGAAAAAGGAGTGGGTGCGGGACTTCACGTGTGGAACATGGTGATTTAAAGCTCAGACAGTTTTACACCTACTGATGCTCTTAATCATGAACAAACAACCGGAAAGCAGAGCTATGATTAACCTTCATGTTTACCTGAGCATTTTCATTGTCACCATCTTGTTTTTTGAAAAATGGTTGTGGTGAGAAAGGAGCAGATCTGACTGTCTAATGACTTGCCAAGCACAAGGCTGAATCTTTGAATTAACATAATTTTTTTAATGACCATTTTCTGTTGGCTGTGAGCTTAAACGAGCGACTGAAAGCTGTTTTATAAAGTCTACCTCACTTTTTTCTAGCTTCTGGTCTACATGTTGAGAAAACGCCCGTGACACAGCTAACCTAGACGAAGTCCAGACGCTTTTCATTCCAAGCTCCTTAGACTACAATGACCTGGATGACTGAGAATGTTCACAGACATACAACTTAGACACTGCACAGATCATGTTGATCTGGTCTATATTACCAGGATGTGTATGCATTTACTGACACCTCAACTTTCACATCTTATCACAACTAACACATGGTGTCTGACCTCAGATACTCCAGTGTACAATGTGGACTCTCCAGAAAACTGCACAGCTGCTTCACTCCTGAGTCCTGCAGCTCATTTCCGGTCAGGTCCAGATGTTTCAGATGGGAGGGGTTGGATTTCAGAGCTGAGCCCAAAGAGCTGATCTCGGACAAACCACAGAACTCCAATCTGAATAAAATTAAAAGATTAACTTTTGTGATTAAAATCATTCAGTGTCTCATAATGTCTCCAGAGATGAAGAAGATTCAGAAGGCGGAAGTTTTGATCATTCCAAACAGCTGAGGCCAACAGGATGGAGGTTCAAGCAGTCTTCAAGATACCTCAACATTTTTCTGATATTTGTATCTACAGTTCACGTAACATGTGGTATGCAAAAATCCAAATGAATGTATTTTTAAGACATGAAAATGTGACTCCAGACTCTTTGCCAAATCAAACTTCCATACCATACCAGTGGAGTCGCAGGATAACAACTAGCATCAGTGCTACTGACCGGTAGACTGTCGGTGAAAACTGTGATACTAACAGGAAGGCATAGGTGACAGAGGCCAAGCAAAGTAAGAGAGGAAGTAACGTGAAAGGGAAATAATGAACACAGAGACGGAAACTCCGTGAATCGCTACCTTATGGTGGTGGAGGGGTTTGTGTGTCCCAGGGATCCCAGGGGCTATGTTGTCTGGGGGCTTTTGCCCCCTGGTAGGGTCTCCCATGGCAAATAGGTCCTGGGTGAGGGACCAGACAGAGCGATTCAGAAGACCCTTATGAAGAAAACATCGAGGGAACAGTTTACCCTGCCCGGGATAGGGTTAGCGGGGCCCTGCCGGAGCCAGGCCTGGAGAGGGTGCCCGAGGGCAAGCGTCTGGTGGCTGGGCCTTAGTCCATGGGCCCATCCTCCCACAGGTCCACCACCCGCAGGAGGCGCCATAGGGGTCGGGTGGATTGTGTGCCGGACGGCGGCCAGGAGCGGAGGCCCTGGCGGACTGATCCCCGGCTGCCAAGACTGGCAATTGGGACATGGAATGTGACCTGTCTGGTGGGGAAAGAGCCTGAGTTAGTGCGTGAGGTTGAGAGGTACCGGCTAGATATAGTCGGGCTCACCTCTACGCATGGCTTGGACTCTGGAACCAGTCTATTGGAGAGGGGCAACTCAATCTGGAGTTTTCCCTGGTGAGAGGCAGCGTGCTGGGGTGGGTATTCTAATATCGCCTTGGCTTGCTGCCGGTACGATGGGGTTTTTCCCGGTGGATGAGAGGGTTTGTTCCCTGCACCTTAGGGTCGGGGAACGGGTCCTGACTGTCATCTGCGCTTATGCGCCGAGTGGCAGTTCAGAGTACCCAGCCTTCTTAGAGTCCCTGGGTGGGGTGCTGGAAGGTGCTCCATCTGGAGACTCTGTTGTCCTGCTGGGAGACTTCAATGCTCACGTGGGTAACAACAGCGAGACCTGGAGGGGCGTGATTGGGAGGAACGGCCTCCCTGATCTGAACCCGAGTGGTGTTTTGTTATTGGACTTCTGTCCAAATCACAGTTTGGCCATAACTAACACCTTGTTCGAACATAAGAGTGTCCATAAGTGCACGTGGCACCAGGACGCTCTAGGCCGTAGGTCGATGATCGATTTTGTAATCGTATCACCAGACCTGCGACCATATGTTCTGGACATTTGGGTAAAGAGAGGGGCTGAGCTGTCAACTGATCACCACCTGGTGGTGAGTTGGATCAGGTGGCGGGGGAGGACGCTGGACAGACCCGGTGCACCTAAATGCGTAGTGAGGGTGTGGCAGAGGCCCCAGTCCGCGAGATTTTCAACGCACACCTCCGGCAGAGCTTCAATGGCATTCCGAAGGAGACTGGGGACATTGAGTCCGAGTGGACCATGTTCAGTGTCTCCATTGCCGAAGCAGCTGCATTGAGCTGCGGCCCCAAGGTGGTTGGTGCCTGCCGTGGTGGTAATCATCGAACCAAATGGTGGACACCAGAGGTGAGGGGAGCCACCAGGCTGAAAAAGGAGTCCTATCGGGCTTGGTTAGCCTGTGGGACTCCGGAGGCAGCCGACAGGTATCGACAGGCCAAGTGGAATGCGGCTTGGGCAGTGGCTGAAGCAAAAACTCGGGTGTGGGAGGAGTTGGGAGAGGCCATGGAAAAAGACTTTTGGACTGCCTCGAAGAGATTCTGGCAAACCGTCAGGCGTCTCAGGAGGGGAAAGCGGTGCTCTACCTGCATTGTGTATAGTGCTGGTGGAGTGCTGCTGACTTCGACTGAGAAAATTGTCAGGCGGTGGAAGGAATACTTCAAGGACCTCCTTAATCCCACGGACACGTCTTCCGAGGAGGAAGCAGAGTCTGGGGATGAGGGGAATGACCCGCCAATTTCCGGGGGCGAGGTCACTGAGGCAGTTAAACAACTCCTTGGTGGCAGAGCCCCTGGTGTGGATGAGGTCCACCCCGAGTTCCTGAAGGCTTTGGACGTTGTAGGGCTTTCCTGATTGACACGCCTCTACAATGTTGCGTGGAGATCAGGGGCAGTACCCCTGGACTGGCAGACCGGGGTGGTGGTCCCCATCTTTAAGAAGGGGGGCCAGAGGGTGTGTTCCAACTACAGGGGGATCGCACTCCTCAGCCTCCCCGGGAAAGTCTATGCCAGGATGCTGGAAAGGAGAGTTCGTCCGCTAGTCAAACCTCGGTTACAGGAGGAACAATCCGGTTTTCGTCCTGGTCGCGGAACACTGGACCAGCTCTTTATCCTCTCAAGGATACTTGAGGG